TGGGAGCCTCACCCTTAGGGTCCAAAGGGCAACTGGGGAGAACCTGGGCTCAGGAATAATGAAGGAGGCTTTGATTAAGGTTGTCTTGGAAACCTCTCCTCAGACTCCAAAGGACAGTGAAAGGGAACCTCAGGGTCAGTGATGGCAGGTGCATCTGAGTGTGCCTTAGGAGCCAGAAGCATCTGGTTTCCGTATGGCTTACATTTACATTTTGAGTGCAAGTAAGGGTTCTTTCTTAATGCAAAGAACATCTGAACATAAGATAGTTCTGATCATTTTCCCTCTGTCTTACAGTACAATTCTAGTTGTGAAATAGTACCATAATAATACTCAGCATTCATTTTGTCTCTAGGCAGGCCATGCTCAGCTGCAGAAAATTATTAAACAGCTTTCTCAGTATGGGAAGGTCAAACAACTCTAGTGCTGAAGAATACATTCCCAAGGAGTAAGAGAATTCAATCTTGAATTTCTCATCTGTAACACAAAAAAATAGATATCCTTTTTAATCCCTGCTTGGTTTCTATATCCTCACAGGGCTGAGGTGACCCTTCCAGAGTAGGTGGCTGCTACCTGTGAGAGTGAGCAGAAGATAGCTTAGGTCAGGCTGGCCACACTTCCTGACTCACACCCCATCTTCCCCAGAAACTCACTCTCCTAATTCCAACATGTGTTTCTCAAAGCACAAGCTACTTTCAGTTCTAGCTAGATGTGCTCACCCATGCCCGTAATCCCAGCACTTAGGAGGCTGAGGCATTAGGGTCACCATGATATGAAAGCCACTCTGGGCTACGTAAGTAAGTTCAAGAGCAGCCTGAGCCGCATGGTGAAACTGTCTGAAAAACAAAATAAAATGGAACAAAACAAAACAAAAACACAATACAGCTGATTCCAGCTATAATAGTCATGTGTAAAAAGGAAGTGTTGTTAGTAAAATTAAGCCAAAAACCAAGCGACCTGAACCAATGCTTTCCAATTTTTTTGAAAGAGATTGACAAAAAAAAAAAAAAAAAAAAATCAGAGGGCAAGTAGGAAGTGGTTGGAGCACTCTCAGCCTTCACCAGCAATCACTTCTAGAAATATAGTCAAGTAATGGATCCGAAAAATCCTGCCCTGGGCACTAGCAAGTCTCCAAGACATTTGTGTTGTCTACCTAACCACAGTGTCAATCTTTCTTAACAGTAAGACAAAGGTAAGTTTTACTTAAAATCCCTTCTAAAATTTCTGTGTCTCTTTAGCTTCTACACACTTATGAAATTCACAGGTTAAAACCTATACTGACCAGTCAGCAACCGCAGTTTACACATTAGCAAAAGTATTTCCCTCCCCTACCACACAAATGAGAGAATCAGGCCTAGGAGGAGAGAAAGCCAGGAGGTTGGGGATTTGCCCTTAAACTAAATTATATATATTTGGTTTTGGGGGGGGGGTCCCTTAAATATTGCTTGAGGAAACAGCTCCTTTTGGTGTCATCCAGAAGTCAGTTCTTTGCACAGAATCTCAGGTTCAGCTTCCCTAGGAGACTGTTGCCTGGGACACTGAAGTGGGGACATCTCTTTCATGTGTGTTCTCCTAGAAGGGCAATATTCCACAGTCTCGTCTGACCGAGAGACATCTAAGATGACTTCCGGTATTTGGCTCAATTTAAAGGTTCTTAATTGTTGGATAGGAGGGGAAGGTCGAGGCAGTTCAGTGTTCCTCCCTCTCTGATCTTTAGCAGAAACATGCCTCCAAAAAAGGAAAGTAAAACGTGACAGGAAAGTATCAGAAATAAGATCAGAAGATGGAAGTTTTATTGAGACGATTTTCCCATGAATCATTATCTAAAACCTTGAAAGAGAAGAATGGGGAATCTTAAGAGCCAAGATTGCCCCTCAATAGTAGAAGATCTGACCAGAAAGGAAACTGAGAGAGGACAGGTTCAATATCCCTCTCCCAGAATGTAGGGGAGGGATCGAGTTAGGCTGTCCCAATGGAAACTGTCCCCCAAGTCTTAAGAATGGCTGCCAGCCTATCACCTTTTAACTGGCAGTTGGAGTCCTGTGATTTATTAATAGGCATGTGTATTTTCTTAAATATATACTAATTTCATTTTTTAAAATTCACATTTTAATTGGTATAAAAGTCCACTAGGGGACGCTCTAACATTACTTTTCCTTAGGGCTGTTGTCTAAGATAAAACCACACTAGTCCATCAGGTCCAGCAGGTCAAGCAGGCAGCACCAATAAATTCAGCAACTAGTAAGTACAAATGCAGTACGGTGCGAAACAGGAGTGTAACTCCATGTCTACAAAACTGAAGTGTCCCCCCAAAGAAACATCATAATCGTCCCATGTCCTCAATTTAAATGCATCATCTTTCTAAACAAGAACTATGTGTAAAAAGTCCAGGCATAAAAATTCAAGGCGTGAGCCACTGACAAACAAGAATGACAATTTTTCATTATCTAAACAAGTCACAATCCAGAATCCATGAAACAAAAGCGAACTCTTACTTCCTTTCAGTTATCTTAAAATAGAACTCCTAACCTGTTAGATGGCAGATGCATCAAGTCTGTGTGCCCCAAAATCAAAGAATGAATTCTAAGGAACAACGGAAGTTAAAAGTAAGAAAACTGTGTTGAGACAGATAGCTCCTGAGAGACAAGAGGGGACCAAAAGTGGGTGGCCACAAGCCCATTTGTCTACTTTTATAGAGCTAAATCATGAGGTGGGTGCAACACGGGACAACACCATGATCAACCCGTAAGATAACAAGTATAACCACCTAGGTTTTGTTGATCCAATGGGGAAGCAACTCACATAGCAACTGTACACGGAAAGAACAAAGACCTTTCCTGAAAAAGATGAGTCGGAAGGTCCTAGTGACCCACCTGAGTGACTGATACCTAGCTAGACTTTATTGGACCAGATGATACCAATTACAGCATATTGCTTATCCTTGAGGAGGCACAAAGGCCTGGTCATTCTGGCTTTATCTGGAGGTCTGGCCTTCAACAGATGCCCTCCAGCCACAGTTGTAATGTGTTCTCATTTTCTGCACTGACTTCCTTTAGGGCCTAGCCCTGTCTCACTGCCTATAGTATTTTTGCTTAACTTAGCTGTCTATGACAAGGCAAAGTGAACAACTAGTCACCATTTCTCTCCTTATTTACCCAAGCCCAAATTCATAAATTCCCATCATCTTAAGACTGAGCCTCTGTTTACGTGTACGTGGGCAGTCGCACACGGCCCCGAGCATACTTGGGAGTTTTCTTGGCGATGTGCTGAGCAAGCTACACCCTGTGTGCTGTCTGAGGCACACGCCCAAGCTGAGACTTCAGGGGCTTTGCCCTTTAGAAGGATGACTTGGTGTAACAGCAGATTCCATAGGCCCAGGAGCCAGGGACCTCACGTCCCTGGCCCTGGTCAGTCCTGTCTGCACGAGCTCAGGATCTTGCTGCGAGGTCCCACCGTTGATGCTGTCGAGAAACTACCCATGAAGTCAGAAATGAGACAAAACAGAGGTGGGTACCCACTAGTTTTTCTGAGATGACTATGGGCAGAATTTAGGAGAGTAAAGGATTTAAAATATCTAGAAGGAGCAAGCAGACTGGCTCAGCCTCTCCTCCAATGTGCTGTGGCACTGCACACTGCGTAAGCTTCCCCTTGCTGTCCTCAGGATTTGGTTTTATCCTTGCACCTCTTTTTCTAGCTTCTGACATGAATTCTTTCTCCACTCTCTCTTACAACTTTTTTTCAGAGTTAAGTTTCCCCTGATCTTTGGCCTCTTGTGCTGTTTCCTTGTCACCTCCAGCCTCTCAATCTTCCTTGTGCTTCTTGCTTCTGACCCTTTTTTCTGGTGGCAGCTCCCACCTCAGAGAATGCTCAGGGAAGGGACTTGCAGGGACCAGAAGGGGTGGACAGCTGGAGGCTCCCTTTCCTTCTCTCCACATCCTCCCCGGCTCATTCCTCACTCCTGCAGAAGGGGAAATGCAACCAGAGAGGCATGCCTGTCCTCAGGGCACAGGGTAGTGTCATTAGAATAAGCAAGAACTTTGAAAATGGCAGTTTCTGGGGCTCAGGCTTCAGAGCCTCTCCTTGGGGTGGTAGTCAGTGTGGTTCTAGGAGTCAGCCTGCCTGCAGGTCCCCAGACCCTGCAACGTTGAGGCAGGGCTGAGTGTGATAGGAGAGAGCAAGGGTCCAGTTGGGGGGTGGCCTTGGTTAGGGCCTGGGGAAGCAGAGAGGGATTGAGGAGATCTGTGCATGGAACTGGAGGCTGCTGTTAGAAGAAAATGATGGGAGCGTGGAAGGTTTATGGGAAGCAGGAGACTTTCTGGGAGCTCCTGGAGTGGCCTAGGCTAAGGCACCGAGGTGTCATACGGTATCCTGGTATCCTTTCGTGTCCTTTCTCCGGGGATTCTCTGGGAATGTGGGGCGTGTCCACAGCTCAGTGCTCCCTGGAGGTGCTTGCAGTTCCCTCACCCCCAACTCTGCAGGGTTCCTTAGTCCTGTCACCTTGATGTTCTTTCTCTTTGGGATGTTGTTCTAGCTGTTAGATCACAATAGGAACAGACCTGGCCAGCCAGCTGACATAACAGTGACAGCCTTACTGAGGTTTAGCTGGCGAGGTGTTTTCCCCAGTGAGACAAAGCTGTCTGCACATTTCTCTCTGTTCATCCTCCAGACTTAGGGGAGGTGGAGGATTACTCTCTCCGGTGTTCAGACAGAGAGTTCCCGAGACCCATACCCCTAGAGCACCTTCACAGGAGATCTTACCAGGGGTAGGAGAGAGTGGAGACCAGACCTACCTTTGTTCTGGAGCCGTGCCCCAGCTGCCCACCCTCCACCAGACCTCCTTCAGGCTTCCCTTTGTTCCTTCCTGTGGTGCTTTCAGGGAGGAGGGCCACTGGGGGAACTGGGCAGCAGGGCCTGCCTGGGGCCTGGCTCCTGGCTGAGTCTTCCATGGAAGTGCAGAGGGCCACCTCCCAGGAGGTTAGCCTTCCTGCCGTCTCCCTTCACAGGTGTGGATGGACGCGGGCACCCAGATCTTCTTCTCCTTCGCCATCTGCCTGGGCTGCCTCACAGCCCTGGGCAGCTACAACAAGTACCACAATAACTGCTACAGGTGACTGGGGAGCGGGTTCTGATCCACGCCAGCTCACACGTTTGCCATGGTTACACCCCTACTTCCCCGCCAAGGTGCTCTTGGGAGCTGCACGGAGTCAGCTGCAGGCTGGGCAGAGGGGCTGCTTCTGGGAGGGCGGGAAAAGGCTGTCATCTGAGGAGGGACCTGCTGCCCTGGCCAATGCAGAGATTAACAGGTGGAGGAGCACTAGGTGAGAAGCAGCAGCTTCATGGCTGCTGGGGAAGCCTCAGTTGTGCCTGCTCTGTAAACCTGCCCCAGCAAACACTGACTCCTTGTTAACTTTCACCTCGTCTGGGTGTGGTTCCCAGAGGCCCTCCCCTCCTGCCCCGTCCCTTCCCCAGGGTTCCTTTCTGCCTTGGTGATTCCTTCTTAGAGAGGTGAAGCCAAAGCTAATTCGCTGAAATACATATGAAAAAAACCTATTGGGCATTTCAAATTTCAGATTTAGTTGTTTGGGATTATCCATGTCATGCTAGAAAGAATTCATGTGACAGCAGTAGCATCTCCAGAAGTGTGGGAGCACCGTGTGTGTGTGTGTGTGTGTGTGTGTGTGTGTGCCCGCGTGTGTGCCTGCGTTAGGGGGTGGCTCTTAGGCATCCTTCTTTTAGGATCATTGTGATTCATTTCATGTCTGACCAAGCCAGTGGTGGGGAGGTGGAGCAGAGCCAGTGCTTAGAAGCCGCCTGGATTTAACAGGGAGCCCTGAAACCTCTGTGAGGGCTCAGCGAGTGGCTGCTAGAGAAGCTGTGTGAGCCTTTTGCCTCCTCCTCCCCATCCGCCCCCTGCAGGGACTGCCTTGCCCTCTGCCTCCTCAACAGTGGCACCAGCTTCATGGCCGGCTTTGCTATCTTCTCCATCCTGGGCTTCATGGCCCAGGAACAGGGTGTGCCCATTTCTGAGGTCGCCGAGTCAGGTGAGTGCCACTGGGAGGTGCCCACAAGTTCTTTGTGATAGGGATCCAGAAATGACAATCAAAATTTTCAGATTTTGGATCATGTTTGAGTTTCAGATTGGGAAGCTCAGCTGACAGGTTGTGTATATATTCCCAAGTCCAAAAAACTCCAAAATCTGTAACACTTCTGGTCCCATTTTGGATGAGGGATAAGTCATGCATGGTGTGAAGCATTTTGCCATGTGATGCACGCCCATGGGGTGGGTGATAGCACTGTCCCTGCTGCCCCAGGGTGGGAGCTGAGACTTGGGGAAGGAGAAGACCGCCCACTGATACTCTGTATCTTTCAGTGAAAACTTCCCAGACAAAATCAGGCTCTGGCCTGTGAACTTTCTGCTGCCCCACAAGGGACTGAGAGGCCATTTGACAGGATGCATGCCAGTGGCATTCTAACAGTAATGCCAGGTCCCTTGCTGGAGGGTGAGGGGTAATACACCGGGCCCAGGCCAAATCGCATCCCTGAGGTACTGTCTTTGGAACCACCTACTTTGTAAATGCAGCAAAGTGGCTGCCTCAGCCGTGGCATGTTCCAGTTCCTTCTTGCTTCATAGCAGGTCAACTTCATAGGTTTATCTGGCCCACTGGCTCCTGCACTCTTTCTAAGTTTGACGCCTCTGGCTTGGGGCAACAGAGAGAGCTCTTTTAGGAAAAAACCCTTTTTATTTAGGGCCCCTATGTTCTGTCTTGCCAGTGAGCATACAATGGCTTGATGCCTTGGGAATCTGGGGACCAGGCAGAACTTTGGATGTCTTGGCATGAGTCAGGATGGTGGAGGTGATGGTGACTTTGGGGTGAAGTTTTCCTTCTGGATCTTTTATTCCATGGCCCCATACCGGAAGCCTTGGGGTGGCAGAAGCCCGGGACTGCCTCAGCATGGAGCTGTATCCCTCTACTCCATCTTAGGCCCTGGCCTGGCTTTCATCGCCTACCCCCGGGCTGTGGTAATGCTTCCCTTCTCTCCTCTGTGGGCCTGCTGCTTCTTCTTCATGGTCATTCTCCTGGGACTTGATAGCCAGGTATCAAGAGGTAGCCTCTCTGACTGAGAGAGGCCGTGGGTGTATGGGCTGGGGAAGGGTGCACAAAAGGCATGAGGTGAGCTGTCTGCCCCAAGGCAGCCTAAAATGTTTGGGGGCTGGGACAATCCTTGGGGGATCTGGAGGAGCTTGCAGTGAAGTCCAGACTAACCTCTGGGCTGGAGTCAGGGGGGCTGGCAGGGCTGACTCCGGGGTCCAGGAGCAGAGCTGGTTGATTAAGTATGCCACGGCAGCTTTCTTCTCTTCAACCCTTTCACCCTCTCATCCAGTTTGTGTGTGTAGAAAGCCTGGTCACAGCGCTGGTGGACATGTACCCCCAGAAGTTCCGGAGGAAGCACCGGAGAGAGATCCTCATCCTTGTGGTGGCCGTCGTCTGCTTCCTTTTGGGGCTAGTCATGCTCACAGAGGTGAGGGTCTGGGGGGCTGGGAGGGCACCCCATGAGGAAGAGGAGCAGCAAGGTAGTCAAGGCAGCTGCCTCCTAGCCACTGGGACCCCCCTCTTTGACCCCACAGAAAGGTGAGGGGGAATTTGGCTCCATGATAAGCAGAGACAGAAAGCATTGGGAAAAGCTGCCTCTCCAGCAAGCCCCCATGCTTCCTTAGGCAGCAGGACCAAGGTCAGTTTCACAGGGGAAAAGGAGCCCTGGGGACAGACACCTGTGTTATGTCTCAGGGGAGGAGCCGGGTGGTAGAGCTCAGTGTTTTGACAACACCAATGACAGCTCCATTTTTCTTGGACAAGTGCACTCGGTACCTTGGCTTCTGAATCCTTAAGTGCTATTAGGAACATTCCAAAAATAGCTCTCTTTTCATTCATCTTTTGTCTGAGAGCAATAATACAACAGTTATTTTCCATATTTGCCTACTGTTTTTATGGCTTATAAACACATTCTCCTTTAGCAGCTGTGATTTCACCAAGGCTGTTGTGGGCCCCAAAGCTCTGAGCCTGTGGGGCACAGAAGTAAGTCTGTCTGTCTCCTTTGGATAATCTCCCTTGTGCAGGGCGGCATGTACGTGTTCCAGATCTTTGACTACTACGCAGCCAGTGGCATGTGTCTCCTGTTTGTGGCCATCTTTGAGTCCCTCTGTGTGGCTTGGGTTTACGGTGAGTGTCTATTCCCCAGATCCCTGCCTAAGTATCTCCTCCACTTTAGTGCCTTTCAGCAACATCTGCTGCCCACACCCACATTTTCCTGGACTCTGCCCTATCCAACCCCAGACAACTCAAACCCCCAAGTGGCTAGTGCTGGAAGGGCCCTCCAGAAGTTGCCTTGAATCCTACCTGCAGAAGGAACTCCCGGTCCCCTTCAGGCAAGCTTCATTCAATATTCAATCCTTATCAAAACTTGGCTGCTGTGAGCAACCTTGAAAATCAGGTTGTGATCATCTCTCCCTAAACCAAGTTCTACCGCTACTGTTTATGCTATGAACCCTAGGGAAGAGGACTCCAGCAGTGCTTTGAAAAGACAACCATGATATCTTCCATTTAGGTCTATGCCCACCTAATCTGTATGGCCCCTTCCTAACCCTGAAAGACATTCTTTCTCCCCTTTCTCCCACCCTTTTCTGTGGCAGGAGCTGGACGCTTCTATGACAATATTGAAGATATGATTGGGTACAAGCCATGGCCTCTTATCAAATTCTGCTGGCTCTTTTTCACACCAGCTGTGTGCATGGTAAGGAAATCCTCAAGGGATGATGGGAAGGATTGAGGGTGGTAGCAGGGGTAGGGGTAGCAGTCATTAGCTCCAGAGTTGAGTTCTCCCTAGAATTTGAAAATCATCTTAGACTTTCATTCTTCCTCCCATTGAAGCCTACAAATCCACAGCAAGTTAGATTCTTCCTTCCCATTTCACAGAGGAATAAACAGATCTAACTCTGTCAGACAGCTTGACCAGGAACCCATTGTCATCTAATGTCATAGGCAGGACATAGGGTTGAGGGGCTCAGAATAACATTAAAAACCACAGGCACCATGATAGCAGCAGTTCTCGAGGGCCTACTCCATGCCTGGCACAGGTACTTTATTTGCATGTATGAATCTGTTGCTTCCTCACAAGAACTCAGTAAGGCAAGAATCACAACGGCATGATTTTGCAGAGGAAACTGAAGCTAAGAGGTAAAGCACCTTACCAAGTGACAGAGGTGTAGAAGGCCAGTACTCACACCCAGGCAACCCAGCACCTTAAAGTTCCCAGGCATATCTCCCTGTTTAACCAAGAGCCAGCCAGCAGCAGAGCATCTGGGACACAGGGACCCTGAGTAACAGGGCATGGGTCCTGAAAGCACGTGTTGTGGAACCTGGTGAGTGGGTTCTGAGCACAATGTGGTATAGTTTGGAGGCTAACTGGGAGCACACAAGGGCAGACCATTGGGTGGGGTGCTGAGAACCCAGGCCCCTCCCTCTGTGCCCCCAACTTCTTTCTTTTCCACTATTACCCCAGGCCACCTTCTTGTTCGCCTTGATCAAGTATACACCACTGACCTACAACAAGAAGTACACATATCCATGGTGGGGTGATGCCCTGGGCTGGCTCCTGGCTCTGTCCTCCATGGCCTGCATTCCCGCCTGGAGCATCTACAAATTTTTCAGCCTCAAAGGCCCCCTCAGAGAGGTAGGAAGGATCTCCCTAGAGGGATGGGAGCCTCTCTGGATGGGGTAAGCTTATGGAAGACAGGTGGGTGGCCTGCCAGGGTGGGAGATGCTGCTCAGAGGGGCCAGGGAGTTGGCATAGGTGTCAGAGGGATACAGCGTGAGCTTAGAAGTTTCAGGAAGAGACTGGTAATGGCAAGACCCAGGCTCTGCTTACAGGGCTGGCATCCTGGGTCTGTGGGGTATGTGAGGAGGCAGGCAGATGTTGGTGCTGAGGGACACTCTCATCTGCCACATGACAGCCATGGTCACTGTTCTTGCAGAGAGTTCGCCAGCTCTTGTGCCCGGCTGAGGATCTGCCCCAGAGGAACCAAGCAGGACCCACCGCTGCCACACCCAGGACATCTCTTCTGCGACTCACAGAACTGGAGTCAAACTGCTAAGGGTGGAACTTCACATGGAGCCTGTGGGCCTGGCTGGGGGACATCTGTATGCCAGCAGGCAGAAGGCCCACTGTGCCCCTCTGTTCTCACCCTGGGCAGACAACACAAAGGGCATCCTTTGGAATGCACCTTTGGAGCAGGGTGCCTTTCAGCCCCACTTCTTTGTTCCACCCCATCTGTTAAAACAGACGAGAGATGCCAGTGTCCAGAGTACCTCTTGAGCCAGCTCGGGAAGCCCAGTGGGGGTAGTAGGGGTGAGAGCAACTGGCCTCCGCCTTTTCCCTGCATTCCATTAAATCCATCTTCTTCCCTGAATGCTTGCATCCAGTCTGTTTTCTGGCCTCAGCCTGTGCCTTGGCTGCCTCCCCCTGTGCAGCTGTGGCTGGGGAACCAGCTCCCTCCTGTCTTGCTTGCAGTCACTGAGGTCTCTTCTTTGACACTGTAGCAGAGCTGACTGCTGTGGTGAGAGGGTGACGGCAAGGGGCATGGATCCCAGGAGGCGTCTCGTGTTTTCTACCTGTGCACAGTGGGATAAGAAAGGAGATAGGAGGGGGAGGAGACCAGGACCCTACCTGAGAAAGGGGGAGGATGCTCTTTCCCAGGCTGTGCCCTTGCCTACTCTGTGTCAGCAGGCCCGCCCAGCCTGGCACAGTGGGGTGCGGGAGGGCACAAGCCAGCTGATGACATGGCCTCCAGGTAGGTGTGGGAGCCTAGACTGAGCCAGCAGAGTGACCTGCTCCCCCAGGACTGCTTCCCTTAAGTTTGAAAGAGGCTTCAAACTGAATGCTGCCATCACCAACTGTCCACACAAGGTGGGTGGCACTGCCATGACCGCAGCTCCACCATCAGAGCTGGAGCTTCTTAAGATGGGTTAGGCTAAAGAGGAGACAGTTGAAGGCAGAAGCCCACAGGAGTTCCTGCACCCTCTCTTCCCCCAGGACCCATGGGGCACTGCTGCAGTCAACCCCTTCCCCAGCCCACGAGCACCCATGCCACTTTCCCTCCCAGCCCATGACACCAGGCCTGGCAGCCTTTCCCTGGAGGGCAGAGAGGTCTCTGGTGGCATTGCGTCCGTATGTGGAAGTGGTTGAGTGCTCCTCCGTGTGACCTTCCTGCCCCTTCATCAGTAGACTCTGCTGCTGCCATCTGGAGTCACGTCCCATGACTCTCAGAGCTGCCATCAAGGGTACAGAGGGTCCTCTGCATGGTTTTCTCAGCTTTTTTTTTTTTTTTTTTTTCTCTTTCTGTGTCAGTTTGTGAGGAAATGTACAGCAACCTCTGTCAGGCTTCAAGTTTTGGTTTCCTGTTGTTGGAAAAGTTTATAAACATCACCAACCGCACCCCCTGACACCCACACACCACGAGTTGGCCTTCCTGGACAGTGCACCAGGCTCAGCAACAGTTCTTAAGAGACGTAAATCGGTTGGCGATGCTCCTGAAGCTGGAGCCAACACACACCTGGCCTCTCCATCTGTGCCATGTTGTTTCCAGAACACCGCCCTGCAGAGCCCTCTGATGCTGTCCCCACTGGGTATCAGATAGGATTTCTTAAACAAAGGTGGCAACTGCTTTGAAAGATAAAAGCACAGAGCTGAGAGGACAGGCAGGAAGGAGCCTGATAGTGGAGTCCAGGTGGTCTGGGAAAGCCAGCTGAGCATCCAGCCTTCTGATCAAAGCTCTGAGAATCTTCTGAGTCTGGGAAGGTACAGAGCTGTTGTATTAGAATTTGACTCCTTTGTAGGAAACTCGCAAATGGTGGCCTATGCAGTGTAAAAATCATCCATTGGCCAAGAAATGGAACTGGTTCTGGTCTTGATTTATAGCTAATTTGCTATATGTCCTTTTGGAAACTCCCTGTGATTCCCACTTGTTTTCCAGATGATACTGTGCCTTGGCCTACATGGGTCTGTTGTGGGGCTCAGTGAGAGCCCTTTCAGTCTCTTGGTGCCAGTTAGTGTGAAACCCTTAAGCCAGTGAGGGAAATGAATGAGGCAGAGATGTTCTGACCATCCAGGAAGGGCGGGCAGTTGGAGATGGACCCTCGTGCCGGGGTAAGCGTTGGCCCAGGGAGTAGAAGAGGCAGGGCTGTCGATGGAGAGGCGCTGCTTCAGTCCCATCTACGCTTCCTGCACAGGAGGGTAGAGTCTGATTTATGTTGTTCCTGGAGGAAGACAGCAGGCAGGGCAGGAAAGGGAATCCTCCCTGTCCAGAGGCCACACCGGTTAGAGAAGGAGGGCCGTGGAAAGGGCCGTGGAGCAGGTGAGAGCTGAGCGCAGAGAGCAGAAGCACAGGCAATGGGACAATTTCTGAACTGCAGTCTTGGGAAGCACTTAGGAGGCACTGAGCACACCAGGCTGCACATGTGTGTACCCAGGCCTCGGGTCCACGCATGCATTCAATACACACACAGACCCTCACTGTCCTTAGACAAATGTGTATATGTGCCCAGACTCAGAGACTATACCGCCAGCCAAGCACAAACCTTTACAGTTCCGCAGTCCTGACGTGGCGCCCCATGCTTACTAGCTGTGTGGCCTAGGGCAAGTTAGCCTCTCTGGTCCTTAAGTTTTCTCCTATAAAAAAATGGACATGACACTATTTACATCAGTGTTATTGAAGCCCATAGAGAGTATAGAACAGCTGCTTGTGGGACACAAGTGAGCAAATCCCTTTGTTTTCCTTGGCTCCAGGCCCCTACACTGGTGGTGTAACAAAGACATCAGTGTAACAGAGATGTCCTTACTGTAACAAGGTTAACTGGCACCAGGAAGGAGGCTACACAGTTATGGAGCTAAACATATTTACTAGAAGGCAAGAGAAAGGTGCTGCTAATATAACCAGCATCCTGTGACTCCATAGTCCTGCTCAGCACAGCAGTGCTGTTCAAGAAAAGCAGGATCTGAGCCCTACATGCGCTAGTCTGTCTCTTATTTCTGGGAAAATAATGCTTTCCCAAAAATTGAGATAATATTTTTTTCTTGAAGAAGCATGCATGCACACATGCTTCATCCATCCATCTGTCTGATAAATTCCAAATGCCTATCCCGAGGCAGTGCTGCATTAAGTGTTAGAGGCAGAAACAAAGAATTTGGAAACCAGGTTCCTGTTAGGTATTCATGGTCTGGGAAACATTATGCTACAGTGGAACTAGTGTAGGATTTTAGAACCAAGCATAGGTTTTTGGAAGCAAATCCCAGCTTCACCATTTACTAGTACATCACCTTAGGGCAAATCATGAAATTCGTTCAGTCCAGCATTCACTCTGTCAAGTTGGGGTGTGTGTGGCGAATGATGTCCAACTTGTGAAGTTCTTTTTTTTTTTTTTTTTTTTTTTTTTGGGTCTTTTTTCATTTTTATCGGTACCGGGGATCGAACTGACGACCGCCTGCTTGCAAGGCAGATGCTTATGCCGCTGAGCTAAACCCCCAGCCCCCAACTTGTGAAGTTCTTAAGGAGATTTTTAAAGGTAATATGTAGAGCACAGAGCGTGAGATACTCAGGCCATGGGTCTCACCCTGTTGCCTGACACACACACAGGGTCAGAAGACGGTAGTGATAAAAACATCTGTGGAGTCTGTTAGTTCTTTTTATGGTGAGATCACTGGTTCATTTAATCATATTTCATCTCAGCTTTGGACCCTTCCCAGTATAGAAGCTGCCCAGAATTAGCTAGAATTCACAGGATTCCTGTCTTTTTCAAGACAGGATTTCTGGTTTCCAGTTTCCCAATTGCTCTGAAGACACAGAAGATGTTGGGGACCATGGAGATTGGGGTGGAAATGAATAAGGAAGGGTTCAGAGACAGTGAGACTAAGGCCAGAGGCAATCAGGTAAAGAAGGGAAGGATTAGGTCACTCTTTGTTAGAAAATTCAAACTGCTCCCTGAGAGGAGCACAAGAAGAGGCAAAAGGATGAGTGGGAGAGGATGGTGTCTTAATGACTTTCCTCCCTGCGGAGACGTAATACCCTACACCCACAAGTTAAGGTAGAGATTGTAGAGATTTCCCTCTGGGGTACACTGACTCCAAAGCAAGATGGCATGGCAGAGAGGCATGGGAGAGGAGGATTGGTTAAAACATAGCAGACTGAAAACAGTCACGGAAGGAACTGGAGAAGGAGATAAACCCTTCTAGGTCACACTTCCAGTGACCCACCTCTTCCTTCCAGACCCTCCCTCCTAGTAGCAAGTCAGCCATAAGCCTTATAATCTAATCACCTCTCAAAGGTCCCACCTATGATCACATGAAGTTTAGGGGACATCACGATATAAACCATAACAGATGAATGTTTTGTCCTTGGACAGCTGCAACTGTTTACTCTTGTGGGCACTCGTGTCCCCTCTTCAGTAAGCCATATGATCCATATGTGGTGGACGGGAACAAGGTAGACGCAGCAGCCGGGCTCACACAGGCCAGTTGAGCACAGGGTGATGAGTGATTCTGGGGTTCTGGGCCCTCTTTTGCCAGAGCTGCCCCAGCCTGGCTTCTAGTTTCACAGAGCTGAGCCATCTAAGAACTGAAACTCACCCTGGTCTTTTCACAATGGGGAACCCTATGTGACAGGCGGAGAGA